TTTTTTTTTCTGTCAGCTATCTAAAAACAACTGTGAAATGACTTTTATAAAGAGAAACCCTTGCTAAACTTAAGTGTCTGCCCACCTGGGTCCTGAGCTCTTTGTTATTCGGCATTTTGTAATTGTCCTGTCCCTTTTTCTTCCTCTGAAACCTTGAGGCAAATTCTTCCTGAATGGCTGCCAGTCGTGGATGGGCGCTTGCTCTTCCACCGTAGGAGTGGCGCGCTCTCCAGAGCCCCCGAGGAGCGGGTCTCCCCGTCACCTTTGGACCCTGAGCCGGAAAGTGACGCCGGAGCACCTGGCTCTGGCGCTCGCTGAAGCCGCTGTTGTCGCCCCGGGGCGTTGCGATTGCCGAGTGTGACTGCCTACTGATTCCGCAGGCGCTGGCAGAGATGCGGCGGCTGACCCTGCTTCTGCCCCTCCTGCTGGCCTCGAAGCTCGGGTGCTCGGTGAGTGCTGCCAGGTCGTGGGAGCGGAGGTGGCGTGGGGCCTGCGGGTGTGTGTGGGGGTGGACAGGAGAGGGACAATGCCAGCGGGCGGGAGGAGACCAGCCGCTGGCCCAGCGCCTTCAGAAGCCATTGGGAGCACCGGACGTGGTGCTGCACGCCTGTGTAGTACACGAGAGGCAGAGGCAGGAGGATCGTTGTGAGTTCGATACCAGCCTGGGCCACAAAGTTCAAGGTCAGCCTGAACTGCAAGGTGAGAATGTCTCAGACAGCAACAACAAAATCAAAAAAGCCAGGGGACCTTGGAGCCTTGTGGCGCAGATGCCCAGAATTGCCTGCTCTCCTGCAGCAGTGGCCCCTTCAAAAGGTGCTGGGTGCCCCACTGCTAGACTCGGCTGACGCTGCAGATGCCCCTGCTCATAGTGGTCTTCCAAGGAGACAGGTGGGGGCAGTACTGGGGTGGGCCGAGGTCTACCCCTCAGACACTGCCAGGACCAGGTGTGGCTGCCATTCGCTACATTTGAGGGGCCTGCAGAGCTGGGGTACCTGTCACCTACCTTCTCCTTGGGGTTAGCAACCACGCCATCCTATCCAGTAGAACTGAGATGACAGAAACCACATCATCTGTATCTCTGCTCCCACAGTGTCCACTGTGGCCTTGAGTACTTAAAATGTGGCCAGTGCAAATGAGGAACTTTTAAATTTGATTTGGCTTTTATTAAATAGCCACATGTGGCTACTGGCTATAACATTAGTACAAACTTAATGGATACAGGAAACCAACTGGTAATCAGAGTAGCTGTTTGATTAATGAGGGTTTAAAGGACAGGACTCCCCAGGGACACAGCCAGGTCCTAAGGCAGTGTGGGATGTGTCCAAGGGTGCAGGATCCACCTTTGGGGAGAAGAGGGTGCTGCCTCGGTTTGCTGTGGGCAAAGTGGAGGGCGCAGAGGCAGTGGGCTGTCCCTGGAGAGCTGTCCCTGGGGTAGGGGAAGCACAGCCTGCAGGGAACAGTGACCCCATGGTGGAAGTGCAGGTGGAGGGAAGAGGGGCAGGCAGGGTGGGCATCAGCAGTGGGCACAGGGTTGCCCTTTAAGAGCCAGTGGACCACACGCCGGCCACAGTCAGAGCAACAGGTGGGCTACACAGCCACCCTCCCTGTGTCCACTCCCTGCCCTGGAGCCTCCCACCATCTCCCCTGTGGCCTTCTTCCCTGGGTGCCGCCCCCTGAGCTCCGCCCCTGCATGCTGCTTGCAGTCCAGTGCCCTTGTAGTGGGGCTGCAGTGACAGTATCAAGCCCCCTGCGAAATCCAGGGCCCCATGACAGCTGTATTCCCCATGCCATAGATTCCTCTACTGTGGACGTTGTACTGCCTAGTTAAATGTTGTTGCACAGATAAAATTAATGAAGGCTTGCAGGGGGCCCTGAGCCAGCCAGGAGCGATGGCCTCTGCCTGTAATCCCAGCATACTGGGGGGTGAGGCAGGGGGTTGCGAACTCGAGTCCACCTGGGCAACTTTGCCAGACCCCCTGTAAAAACAAACCAAACCAAACATGGCTGGGGGTGTAGCCCAGTACAAAGGCTCTGGGCTGATTTCACTGCATTACCCACTCCCATCAGAAAACTGAGCTGTAGCGAGTCCCTTCTCCCTGGGCAGCAGCCAAGACCCAAGTAGCCTTCTCCTGCCTCCTCCCCGCCAGCATGGATTCTGACAGGCAGGCATGTGTGCTACTGAGCTATCTCCCCAGCTAGCAGGGATTTTGGAGTGGGCAGCGCACGTCCTGGACTGGATGCTTGCTCTCCTTCTTCATGTGGTAGGAGGGTGTGACCCTGGCGGCAGCTCAGCCTCCTCACTTCAGGTTTAGCCGAGGCCCGGAGGAATCCCTGAACACCCTCTGGGGTTCACGGTGGGTGCTGGCCCGGCTGGCCTATGAGCCCAGGTGAAGGTGCTATTCCCCGAGGCCTGCTGCCCTGCACAGTGGCTAGCCAATTTCCCTGGACACGGTGCAGCAGAGAGGGGGCTCCTGGAGGAGGCCTGCCAGGCGCTGGGGCCCCTGTCCCAGAAAGCCCTGCATCCAGGCCAGACCCCCACCTCCTCTTGCCTGGGTGTGGTGGCCCTGGGGCAGGAACCATTGTGGTGGCCATACCAGAACCCCGTGGGTGCTGATTAGATCTTAGCAAGGGTGCGGTGCCACAGTTCGCTGCAGAAAGCTGAGTCAAATTTTGAAAGCTTCCCCAGGGGAGAAGGGGATCGTCTTCGGGTGTCTCTGGAGTCCGCCACAGATCAGCCAGCTGTACCCCTATAGTTTTCCCTATAGGAGTAGATTAAGTTGTAGTTTAATAGACCAGAGCCATAGAAGCTGCCGGCATGAAAGAATCACACAGGGCAGGCCCTGTGCAGCCCTCCTCTGGGGACCTGTGGGCCGTGCTCCCTGCACAGGCCCCAGGACTCCTGCAAACACAGAAATGTGTAAATAAAAATTATTATGGCAAGACTCAATGCCGCAAGTCCCCCCAAAACATTCCCCTTGCTTCAACCACCCATCCCAGCCTTCTTGCCACGTTCTGAAATCATTCTGGAAGTCCTTTTTTTGAGAGGTTTTTTTTTTTGTGTGTGTGTGTGTGTGTGGTTATCTCAATGTTTTTTTTTTCTTTTTTATTGTTTATTTATTTGTATTTAGTCTGTAGAGTCTCACTACACAGATCGGACTCCTAGTGATTCTCCTGTTTTCAGCCTCCCAAGAGCTGGGATTACAGGCGTGCGCCACTATGCCCAGCCTCTGTCACCATCTCAGCACGTCCTAGGGGCAGGTCCAGCACAGGAGCCTGGGATTGCACCCCAGTCCCTGCGTCTGCCTAAGCAGGCGCTTTAATCTGCGGAGCTATCTGGCTAGTCCTTAATCTCAATGTTTTGAATGAGTTCAAAATGTTTATAGCAATTTCTGTCAAGCAAAAACCTCGCAGCACACCCTCATCTGCCGTATTCACTGGATCAGGTGCCTGCAAGTGCCGGCTCTTCCCCAAAGTCAAACTCACCGTGAAGGGGAAACATTTTGAATTGGTAGAGGACATCGAGGTGGTTAAGCTGCGGCAAAGACACAAGTCTGACTTGCAGAGCTGCTCTGGAAGGTGGCGAAGGCCGTGAGCCGAGTGAGCTCAGGGAGGGGGGTACCTGGAGGGCGAGTGTGAGCAAGGCGTCTTCTCTGTAATCAAATAAGAAGAATCACTGTGTGCATCACAGCGAGTGCATTCTGCTGCTGCTGCTGCTGCTGCTGCTGCTGCTGCTGCTGCTGCTGCTTCCAGATGTTTGCAGATGTCATGGCTCTCAAGCCAGACTCCACACAGCTAGGCTTTCCTATCGTGCGAGGCAAGCTGGGGACCTCCACTTGCTGATGGGGCTACTTCGCCAGGCGAAAACCACTGCTGGGAAGGGTTAGGTGACCGGCAGGTCCTGCAGCTGGCTGCCCCACTGCTTCCCTTACGTTAGCATCTATAGCATCTACACGAAGGGCCTGGCTCCCCTGCTGCTCCAGGAGCTCCCCATCTTTCTGTGTCTTGCGGCTCTCACTCCCCAGGCCTACCTCTCAGCTCCTATGAAGAAAGCTGGCTGATGTGAATGAACGCCTTGGGGTTCCTGGTGGAGTTATGGAGTCCTGAGGGGAGACTCCCAGCCCCTTGAACTGAGGAGAGGGTGTTTGCAGGCAAAGGGTCCTGGTGTGGTCTCTGGGCACAAACCCTGAGGGTTCTTCTGCAGGCTCTAGAGGCCAGGCAGCAGAGTGACACCTGGGGCCCCTGGGGCGAGTGGAGCACCTGCAGCCGGACCTGTGGAGGGGGCATCAGCTTCCGGGAGCGGCCCTGCTACACACAGAGGTAAGGCAGACTCGAAGGGGCCAGGGTTACAAGGAGGTGGGAACAAGGGCGGCTGGCTGCTGACTACCCCCTGGTGGAGGATCTGGGGATTGTGCGCTTCTGCCCTGAATTTGGGTACCAAGCAGTTCCAGCACAGGCCAGGTGCAGCAGTTCCTAACTCTGCGCTGCATGGCTAAGGGTAGATGTTGCTGCTTCAGTGACTTCCGTCTCTGCACCTGATGGCCGCCTTGGGAGTGGGGTATGAAGGAAGGGCAGTGCGGTGGCTCTAGGTGCTCACTGCTCAGGAGAGGAGGCTAACGGTGAGAAGGGCTTATTCTATGGGGCCTGCAGTTACCCTCACAGATCTGCTCCAAGCTGGGTGTGTAGGACCTTTCACCAGCCAAGGGCAGGATTTACCTCTTCTCTGGAAAACCGTTTTCAGAGGCAAAGCAGCCCTGAGTTCAGCCAACTTCAGGATGGTTAGGCTTCCGAGGCCACTAGCACCCATCTGGGGATGTGTGTGAACGTGCCCTTGAACCAGCATTGCCCACCAGGAGCCCCATGGAAGCTGGGAGCCTATGGGAGTGTGGGGGTGATGGGTGCTGGATGCAGGTCTTCCTGGTGCTGTCCCCCATAGGAAGGATGGAAGCACCAGCTGTGTTGGCCCTGCCCGGAGCTACCGCACCTGCAGCACCCAGGTGAGGTCTTGGGTGGGACCCTGGGGGAGGGGAGGGCGGGCAGGACCCTCACTGGGGACCCACTTCCCTGCTGCCCTGCAGAGCTGCCCAGATGGTGCGCGGGACTTCAGGGCTGAACAGTGTGCAGAGCTAGACAGCACCCCATTCCACGGCCGGCGGTACCGGTGGCTGCCCTACCTTGGTGGTGAGTGACCCCACCCTGACTGTGACACAAACTGTGACCTACCCTTGTCTCCAGGCACAGCAGAGGACCCAGGGGGGAGCAAGGGGTGGGCTGTGGGGCAGTGCAAGAGGGGCCTGGATGTGGCCTGGCAGGTGAAAGCCCACCCACCGCTTCTGGGGCCCCAGTGGGTCGGGAAGGCAGGGGTTGGAGGTCAGGAAGGTTAGGGAACTGCAGTTCAGCGAACACGAACCTGTGCATGGTGGGCTGCTCCCTGCTAGGGGGCTCTGGATTCTTAGGTTCTGTGGGCGTGTGTTAGAAATAATTGATATAAATCGGCATCATAGAGGAGATGGAACACAGGAAAGAGCCAGAAAGAGTAGCTGAGCTTGCTCGAGCTAGGGTGTATGTGTGTGTATGTATTTGTTTGGTTTTTTGAGATAGGCTCTCACTGTGTAGTTTAGGCTGGCTTTGAACTGACTGTATTTCCCAGGCTGTCCTTGATCTTCCTGCTTCAGCTTCCCTAGTGCTGCAAAATTACAGGCATTTGCCCCTTGGGCACCCTGGGGCTGTCTGGACAATGTGTACTGCCTGGATACTGGCGACAACAGGACAAGCCCGAGAGGTGGTGCATGCCCAGCATTCTGGGGAGCCGAGGCTGAAGCCTCACAAGTTTAAGCCCAGTGACTTAGCAGGATCTGTCTCAAAAAACTGCACACGGGCTGGGGATGAAGCTCAGTGAGAAGGCCTGGGGCTCAGCCCTCAGCACAATGAACCCAAGACACTCTCCTCGCCCGCCTTCTGTGGGGCCGTGCTGGCCTCTCACGTTGGCCCTTCCTTGGTCACTGAGCTCAGATACAGAGTGCACTCTACAGCCTTGCGTGCACTGTGCGGCCCCGCCCGTGGCCTCATCTGCTGCGGGGCCCCACTGACAGTGCAGTTTAGCCTGTTAACACCTGCGCTGTTGTCCTCAGTGCTGGGCTAGGCCCCTTTATATGTACGTTTGTCCCCTATCCTGGGATTTCTCTGATGTGGTCCCTGGACACAGCCCTCTGAGGTCACCGTCCCTTCTCCCTGTGATGGGGACGGGGTTCTGTGTGCTGTCCAGGAGGCAGCAGCTGAAAGGCTTGTTCTCCTGTTGTGAGTGTGCAGCTGGCGCCTGCACCTCCTGGGCCCTGGCCTCAGTGCTCCCTCTTGCCCACAACAGCCCCAAACAAGTGTGAGCTGAACTGTATCCCCAAGGGGGAGAACTTCTACTACAAGCACCGGGAGGCTGTGGTGGACGGCACGCCCTGTGAGCCTGGTGGACTGGACATCTGTGTGGAAGGCCGCTGCCGCGTGAGTGTTGTCCCTCCCCTGCCCCAGGCAGGGTCCCCCGAGAGCTGGGCCTTCAGGGCGAGGGAGCGAGTGGTTACCAGGGAAGGGGAGATGGGAGCAGAGAGGTCCATCTGGCTTCATTCCGACACCCTGTCCTGCCGCCTGGGGCCCGCTGTGTCGGCCATGCCTTCCGCTCTCAGCTCTCCTCCCCTGGCAGGCTGTTGGCTGTGACCTCGAGCTGGACTCCCCCAAGCAGGAAGACAAGTGTCTGCGGTGCGGAGGAGATGGCACCACCTGCTACCCCGTCGTGGGCACCTTTGATGCCAACAACCTCAGTAGAGGTGGGGTGCCCTCTGGGGTCAAGCTCACCTATCTCCTTTGGCCAAGGCTCAAGGATAGAGGGTGCTTGTGCCCCCCCAGGGAGTCTGTTGGCTGGGGCTGGGCCCGGGTGGGGACTGCAGTCTTCTCACCAGCTGACCCCCCAGCCTGACTCTGCCCCTCTCAGGCTAGGCCGGGCTGGCCCGGGTGGGGACTGCAGTCTTCTCACAGCTGGCCCCCAGCCTGACTCTGCCCCTCTCTCTCAGGCTACAACCGGATTTTCACCATTCCTCCGGGGGCCACCAGCATCCTTGTGGAGGAGGCTGCAGCTAGCAGGAACTTCCTGGGTAGGCAGTGGTATGGGGGTGAGCTGGGGCTGCCGAGGTGTGCCCTGCCCCAACTCCCCTCCGTCCCATGCAGCTGTGAGAAGTGTCCGTGGGGACTACTACCTCAACGGGCACTGGACCATCGAGGAGACCAAGGCCCTGTCAGCGGCCAACACCATCCTGTACTACACGCGGGGTGCTGAGGGGGACCTGGCCCCTGAGCGGCTCCAGGCTCGGGGCCCTACCTCGGAGCCCCTGGTCATCGAGGTGAGCACATGGGGGAAGCTGGGCCTGAGATGCCACCCAGCCCTGTTCACGGGTGGCTGGGAGCCCAGGCTGACTCGGGCACTGGCCATAGCTCCTCAGCCAGGAGGCCAACCCCGGCGTGTACTACGAGTACTACCTGCCCCTGCGCAGTCCTGGCTCCAGCCCGGCCTTCAGCTGGAGCCACACGTCGTGGGGCGACTGCAGTGCCGAGTGTGGCGGAGGTGAGGTCGAGGGTGAGGCTGGGGGCTGGCCGGAGGCACCCTCTGGCTTCAAGGCTGCGCTGAGGGGCGGTGGGCAGGAAGGGGAGAAATCTCCAGGTCACGGGGTCCCCTTAGGGGGCGTGGAGACACCGTGGAGTCCCCCACTGAAGCTAAGAGGGAGGGCGCCCCAGCAGGGTGGGTCTCGCAGCAGCTGGCATGCAGTGGTGCAGAGGCCACACCAGAGCTGACCACAGGTCATGCATGGCTCTGCGCTCTGAGGCTCGGTTTCCACATCTATCCCCTCACCCCATCAGAGGGTTGTTTGAAACAGCCAGGGTGGTGCAGGAAGTGTCCAGAGTCGTGCTGCCTGCCCAGGCTGCGCTGGTGAGGCTGACTGAGGGCGCGTTCTATGCCCGCCCTGCACAGGCCACCAGTCCCGCCTGGTGTTCTGCAGCAGCGACAGCCAGGCCCACCCCCCCCACGTGTGCCAGCGCCAGCCTCGGCCTGCCGACCGCCGCCCCTGCAACGCCCAGCCCTGCCCACAGACCAGGCGGTGAGGCCCTCGCCAGCCCCTTGGCCAGAGGTGGGGAGGGGAGGGGGGAGAGGCCGAAGCTGCTGCAGAAGGACCGCGAGGAGCTGGGGGCCAGGCCCCACAGCTGTGGCCGCAGTCCAGAGCCAGCGAGCGAGCGAGCGAGCGAGCGAGCGAGGCAGCAAAGTGGCGCGAGCACGAGGCCTAGGGCTGCCCTCTGGCCTCCGTGCCCTCGTGGTCCTCGGCACGTCCAGGTCTGAGGCAGCGGGGGGCTGGACTCAGTGCACGCCACGGGGTGCGCCGGGGGTCCGACCACGGGCATGTTGGCATCGGCGATCCTTTGTTCGTGCACAAAGGACCTCCTACCTGTACCAGCCCGGAGCGGGGCGCCATGCCGGGGCCCAGCATGTGTGTGGGAACAGGTAATCTGCCCCTGCCAGGGCAGTGGCGTCTGGGACGGGGGTGGGCGTGGCCCGGCGTGGTGGGGCTGCCCCGGTCTCCACCCATTGTGCGGTGTGCAGGCAGCGCTGCAGATGTCCCTGTCCAGGTGGACCCCGTGGGAAGGGATTCTGGCTCGGTGAAAGGGAGCCCACTGAGGAGGAAAGGAGGCCTGGGGTGAGGATAGGGCAGCTGCAAGAGTGGCTCCGGGCTGCAGGGCCCCAGTCTCGGGCGGCCCAGGAGCTTCGAGGGGAGCGCAGGAGGGGCCATGCTCCCCGTGCAGGCCGCTTCCCCTGCTGGCCTGACCTGACCCTGTTCCCTGGCAGCTGGCAGGTGGGGCCTTGGGCGCCCTGCTCAGCCTCCTGCGGGGGCGGCTCTCAGGCTCGCTCCGTCCACTGTGTTTCGTCGGATGGTGCTGGAGGCCGGGAGGTGGCAGAGGAGGCCGAGTGCGCAGGCCTGCCCGCGAAGCCCCCTTCCACACAGCCCTGTAACCTGCAGCGCTGCACAGCCTGGAGTGCTGGGCCTTGGGGAGAGGTGAGCCTCCGGAGCCAGGGAGCTGGGTGTTCAGTCCAGAGGCACAGGCCCGGGTCTCTGTGTGGACCCTGAAGTTCGGGTAGATGAAGGAACCGGCAGGGCATCTTGGAAGCTGTGGTCAAGGTGGAGACCAGAGGCAAGTTAGGGCCTGGACCCCTGGTTCAGAGCTTCTGTTCTACAGGCCCCAAGAACTGGCCTGAGCTTTAAGCGGCTGCAGGGCCTGGTGTTTGGTAGGGATGGGCAGGGCAGGGCTGGGGCTGCTTTGTTTGCAGCATCCACTTTGACTTCAGGTTCCAGTGCAGGCCTACTGTCTCCTCTGCTGCCCGCCACTGTAATCAGGCCCTGCGACCTCGGTAGAGTAACGCAGCCTCCCAGGGCCTGGGCAGGCCGGAGCAGCAGGGTGCAGAGTGCCCTTCCTGCTGGGGTAGTGGGCCTCTAGATGCGCCTGTGGGTGGCTCTCCTGGGCTGGGGTCTTGCTGATAGCTGGCTCTTACAGTGCTCTGTCACCTGCGGTGCTGGCATCCGGAGGCGGAGTGTGGCTTGTCGGGGTGACCAAGGGTCCCTGCTCCCTGCCTCGGCCTGCTCCCAGGAAGACCGCCCACCCCCCACGGAGAGCTGTGTGCAAGCAGCCTGTCCCCTCCTCAGGGACCAGGCCTGGCACGTTGGTGCCTGGGGCTTAGTGAGTGCCGGTCCCCGCCCCTCCGTTCTGGGCCTAGCCAGCACCTTGGGTGGTAGGGGCACGGGACTGCTGGTGCTGTGACCAGTGTCATGGGCCACCCTCCCCTTCCTCCTCCTCCTGGGTGCCCTGGCCTCAGGCCTCTTCCCCACCTCCCCCACTGACTCCAGTGCTCAAAGAGCTGCAGCTCGGGCACTCGGAGGCGACAGGTCATCTGCACCATTGGGCCGCCCAGCCACTGTAGGAGCCTGCAGCAGTCGAAGCCCAGGGAGGTGGAGCTTTGCAACACGCAGCCCTGCCACCTTCCTCAGGGTGAGTACTGGCTAGGAACCCACTCTCTCCCTCCACCCTGCCCCTCACTGTAAACCAAGCAGCCACTTGGCCCACGAGGTGCAGCAGAGACTACCTGTCTGGGGTCTGTCTGCTGAAGCCTTTGCTGGGGCAAACTCCCATCTTCCCCGTGACTTTTGGAGCCAGCCCACTGTCTGCCACCCAGAAGCAGTGTCTCCTCCTTTGTCTGCCCCCAGAGGGTCTCATCCTGTGTCACTGATTAGTTTGCTTTGTCGCTGGGGTTGCACATGGCTCCCTAAGCTCCCAGGGGTGGGGCCCAGAGTCTCTGGCTCTTCCCTGCACCCCACACAGAGCCCCTCATACCACATGGAGGCGGTTCAGCTCTTGTTCACTTCAAGACTGAGTGATGAGAGGGCCAGCCAAATAGCTCAGCAGATTAAAGCACCTGCAAGCAGGCGCAGGCGCAGGGGTACTATCGCCAGGCTTGCCGTGCCGGCCCAGCCCCCAGGGCATGCAGAGACAACAACTGAGACTGGGCGTGGTCACCCATGCTTGTAATCTCAGCTCTTCGAGGCTGTAAACAGGTGGAGTCTGATCTAGTAGTAAGACCTTGAACACCCTGTAGACTCTTCCCTAAAATACAAAAAATAAAAAAAAAAAAAAAGACTGATGCCTGCTGCAGAGGGAAGGTGCTGTACCGGCGACTTCCTCCCTGCAGCCTGTCTTCCACTCCTCCAGGCCTGTGGCCTTGCAGGGGGACTGCGCGGGATGGCGCCCAGCTGGTGTGCAGCGGAGGCAGGGAGGGGCCGTGGCTGAGTCTTAGGTTTGGGGCGATGGGCTGCTTCACTGCAGTAGATTGGGTTTGGCCATGAAAGGGCTAGCAGTCGGTGCTTTGAGCTGTGGGACCTTGAGGTCAGGATCCCAGAGTTCCACGGGAGGCAGGCGGCAGAGTAGCAGGCTGAGGCTCCTAGCCTCGTGGCCGACCTGGTGTGTGACCTGTGCTCATGGCCCCTCTGTTTCTGCTTGTCCATGGTGCGGTGGGATGGCTTGTGGCGGGGCCCTGGGCCCAATGCCTGGAAAAGGCTGGGACGTGGTGGTGAGGAGCCTGCCAGAGCCAGCCATGCCAGCAGCGAGCTCCTTGCTTTCCAGGTTGAGTTCAGGGGGTTGCTTTGCTGCCTAGAAGAGGGGACTTGCGTCCGCCCCAAGGACAGTGAGACGTAGGAGGCTGGGAAAGGGATGCAGCAGTCTCAGGACAAATAGTATGCAGGGGAAGTAACCTTTACTGCCATTTTTTAATTTTTATTTTAGGAAGGGTCTGCAGGGTGTTCAGGGTCTCACTGCTACATCAGACTCGTAGTGATCCGCCTGTTTACAGCCTCCCAAGAGCTGGGATTACAGGCGTGCGTAACCACACCCAGTCTCAGTTGCCACCTCAGCGTGTTCCGTGGGCGGGGCCGGCACAGGCAGGCGGGGGATCAAGCCCCTGGCCCTGCACCTGCTTGCAGGCGATTTAGTCCCCTGAGCTATTTGGCTGGTCCTTCACTGCCATTTTTATGAGTATAAAAGTCGTGTGTGTTCAGCATAGAGAACTTGGAGATCGTAGACAGACTCACGCTTGTCTTTAATCTCAGCAGCTGCTCAAGTTAGTATTTTGTGTCTTCCTGTTACATTTCTGTACTTCTGTATCTGCTTCTTCTCCTTTATTATTTTCTGTGCCCAGCATTGCCCTGTCTCTTGGTTGCTAGGGCTTCTTCTCACGTCCACAAGGGGTAGTCATGTAGGATTTAGGGGTTTTGGGAACTGTGCTGAGTGCCGCAGTGCATGCTGGTAGGGGTTGGGAGGAAAGGATGCTGGGGGGGGGGGCTCTGAGGAGTGAAGGGTGGAGCCCAGGGCAGGCGGAAGTCCCGTGATGGGGCCAGAGGGCAGGACAGGAGGGTGGCACCTTGAAACTCTGAGCTGGCTGAAGCCCAGTGTGGTGGAGTACACACAGAAGCCCAGCTACTGGGGAGATTGAGGCAGGAGGGTCATCGTTCTGAGGTCAGCCTGGGCTGCATAATGATGTGCTGTCTTCAAAAAGGGGACCAGAAATGTGGCTCTGTGCTCCCTGGATTCAGTCTCAGTGCTGGGAAGCAACCCATGGCCCACCTGCACGGTGGGGGCGCTTTGTCCGGTGTCCTTTACGCTGGGCTCTGCTCCCCACATCCATTGCCTTCACTCCCCACAGAGGTCCCCAGTGTGCAGGACCCACGCACCCCTCCCAGAGGCCCCTGGACACCCTCGGACCCTCACAAGGCCCTTGCTGCAGGTAGGAGCAGGGGCCTCCCTCCCAGACTGCCCTGTCAGCTGTGTGGGTGGCACCTGGGGGAGGCAGTTGGGGTGGTGGGTGGGGAGGGTCCTCAAGGGTGGCTGCAGCTGGACATGGTGCTGGATCGGGAGCCAGTGACGCTCACAGTTTGGCTTTTGCTGCCCCTCTCTAGGCTCCAGAGACCAGCGACCCCAGGCCCCAAGCAGACCCGGCGGGTTCCATGGCTCCCTGCCTTCAGCTCCAGGCCCAAACCCATCTCTGCAGCAACCCCCAAGGTCTGGCTCAGGGGCCCAGGACTGCAGACACAGCCCCTATGGGTGCTGCCCTGACAGCCGCACGGCATCTCCTGGACCACAGGGGCAAGGCTGTCCCAGGATGGAGGCCTGGTGCCAGCAGAGCAGGTGGGTGCTGCGGTGGTCAGAGAGAGAAGGCTGGGCGCTGACCGGCATCCCCAAATCTCTGCAGAGAAAGGGCACGGGCTGGTTTATGAGCATGGGGCTGAGACTTGTCGTGTATTTTCTGAGCTGTCCTGCTTGTGGGGTCTTAGAGGTTTGCTTCCTCTTGTGCCACACAGGGACACAGCCCCTGCCTTCTCGGTGGTGGGAGGACAATGAGCCTGAGGGGAGGTTCCAGCTCTTGGACCTAAAGCAGGCAGGGGTAATCCAGGGGAGAGCGGGGTAGAGCCGAGGGACTCCCAGCAATGGCCCACGACACAGCCTTGCATCAAGGGCCTCCCCCAACCTCCTCTCTCACCGGGTCTCTTCTTCTGTATCTGCCTCCTGGCTGTGTCCCCTTATGAACAGGGAGCTAAGGCTCAGGGGCCCCAAGGCGTCTGTACCAGCTGCATGCTGACCTGCGGCAGCTCACTTAGCGTCTCTGGTCTTGGCTTCCTCTTCCGAGAACTGTGAACAGTGCTGGCCCTGGGTGGGGTTGTGAGGGTGGAATAAGTCACAAGGGCTGGTGCGGGGACCTGGCCCTTTCCCACCTTGCTTCCTCCCTGTGGTGGCAGAGGGCCCCTTGAGTCGGCTCTGCCCTTTCTGCTGTTACCTTGTGAGAGTTCCCTGAGGTGCCGACATTTGGCCAGGCTCACATGACCCCAGCCTTCTTGCTTGGGGGTCGAGCATCTGTCAGTTTTCAGGCCTCGCTTACCACTGCCCTCCCTGCAGCTGCCAAGTGGTTGTGGGCGTGGGCCGATGGGGCACCGAGAGTGAGGTCCCTGGCAGGGACTTGTCCTCTCTTGGGGCCTTTCTGGTTGGCCCCACGCAAAGTGCCTTGGAACTTGGGGTCTGGGCTGGCAGTAAGGGGCTGTATCCTGTTTGCCTAGGTATGGGTGCTGCCCTGATGGCATGTCCGCAGCCAAGGGACCCCAGCAGGCTGGCTGCACCGGGGCCTACACTAGCACTGTTGCTGGGAGGAGGCCAGGGTCTAAGGCAGTGCCTTCCACGGTGAGTGGCTTGTGGCCCCTGAGTCTGCTTGGTGTCCCTGGCCCAGGGACTCTCTCTCAGGTCTGCTGGCCTCCTGAGGGTGCTGAGGTTGGGCAGGTTTGGGCTGCTTCCTGGCCTCTGGTCTCCAGCTGGGGTCGTGATCCTGGGTTCCTGCAACGCCCCCTGCCATCCTCCCCCAGGCAGCCCAGGGTGCTGGGCAGGACCTAGACCCATTCCCAATTTCCCAACCCTTCCAGGTCCCCAAGGGCCACAGGCCCCAGGCCCAGCAGAATGAACCTGCTGAGTGTCGGGGATCCCAATTTGGCTGTTGCTATGACAGTGTGGCCTCTGCCGCAGGCCCCCTTGGAGAAGGTTGTGCGGGCCAGCCCAGCTCTGGTGAGTGATGCCCTGTCCTCCTTCCTCGCTGAGTAGACAAATACCTGAGGGCTTGCTGGACGCCAGGACCAAGAACAGTGCCTGGCTATTCTTTTCCCACGATTGCTTGTGCTTAAGACCTTCTGGCTGCTTGTGGGAATTAGGGGAGGTGGTGATCCTGGGAAGGCCCATCCTGTGCCTTAGTCCCCAGAGACAATGCCAGGTGGGAAGTACCAGGAGCAACTAACTTGTTCTAACTGGCTGGGGGCGGGGGCAGGGCAGTAGGAGCCTTCCAGGAAGGAGGCTGAGCTGAGTGGCCAGGGACAATCACAGATGTAGAAAATGGACAGTCGGGGGGCGGGGCTCTGCAAGAGGTTGTGCGCTTGGGTAGGGAATGGTGGTCCTGTCTGAATATGGGGAGGTGGAATAGGCATGGTGGCTGGGAAGGCTGTTAGAATGACAGGCAGGGTGGTTGAGAGGCTGCTGCAGGGTCAGGAGCAGGTCCCTTACTGGCTGGCATCTGCCAAGGCCTAGGGTCAGGTGGCCCAGGGTTAGGTCCTTTCATAAGCTGAGCCCAGCAAGGCCATGTCCCCTGCGGGGTGTGTGTGCTCCACGGGCCCAGGGTGTGATGGGCACAAGGCCACCTGCCCAGGGACCCTGGACCTGTGTTCCTGGATAGCTGTAGCTCGGGGCTGAGGCTCCTGTAGCCCTCTAGGGCAAGTGTGGGTGGTAAGCAGACCCCTAAACCAGGTTGGGCCCGGGCAGGGTACAGCCACACTCTGTAAACTCGAAAGGGTATGGCTTTGCATGTGAAGTAGAAGGGAATGGCTCTGCCCTGTCAGTGGCCACTCCAGTGATGGTCCCACCCCTGTCCCCAGCCTACCCGGTGCAGTGCCTGCTGCCCAGCGCCCATGGGTCCTGCGCAGACTGGGCTCCCCGCTGGTACTTTGTTGCTGCTGTGGGCCGGTGTAACCGCTTCTGGTATGGCGGCTGCCATGGCAATGCCAACAACTTCGCCTCAGAGCAGGAGTGCATGAGCCGCTGCCAGGGTGCCCAGCAAGGGCCACACCACCCTGAGCCTGGGGCCACTGGCCGGGGCATCCCCACCAGCGGCCGTGGCAGCAGCCCCAGAGGCCAGCAGATCAACAGGCAGAGGACAGGGGACACAGGCCCGAGACCAGCCTCGTCTTCTGGTGGCCTCTGGCGAAGAGAGCAGGAGCCTGTGCTGGGGGAGGCCCCCCCAACCCGGGCCTTCGGAGAATGGCCTGGTGGCCAGGAGGTTGGGCCCGTGCTGCCTTCTCCCAGCTCCTCTTTCAGGTGAGGTGGGCAGGGCGTCTGGCCAGGGCAGGCAGAGCTCCATCACCGACTTCTCTCCCCAGACACCCCAGCACGATGGGCCTTGGGAGCTTCCGTCTCTGGGTAGGAGGCTGAGACTAGAGACGCTGGCCATCTGACATCTCACAGATGTCCCCGCGGGTGTGGGCACCTGGGTTCTCCATCAGATGTCACCCACATCCCCTGGGGCCTGTCTGCTGGGAAGGCATGCTGGCTGCCTGGTCTCTGGCAGGCCACTGCTTCTCTGGGCCTCAGCTGCCCGGTGACGTAGTGATACAGTTTCCTGCTCTGCGTCTCCCATAGATTTGGTGGAGTTCGCTTCATGATTCCCTTAGGATTGGATTGTTTTAATAAAAGATTTTGGAAAATTGAAATAAAAACCCCAGACTTAACTGGGCATGATGGTGCGTGCCTGTAATCTCAGCTGCTCAGGAAGCTAAAATGGGAGGATCCAAGTTCAGGGCCAGCCTAGTCAGCCTAGAGTGACCCTCTCAAAATGAGAAGGCCTGGGCATGCAGTGCGGGGAGGGGCCCGTGCCTCGCATGTGCACGACTCTGGCCCGGGTCTCGGTGCTGTCTGTACGTGTACGCGTGCAGAGAGGCAGGGAGGGCGTGGAGTGCATGTGGCCTGCCACAGGGCGGCTTCACCCGAAACCTGGGGCCGTGAGTCCCTCGCCAGGCTCCTGCCTTTGTGCTGTCGAAGGACCAGGCTGGGCTTGGGTGGGCCCCGGCCTCTGGAGGACTCTGGCCAAGGAGGCTTGTGCCGGGGTGCTTGAGAGGTCAGCAGGGGTTTCCTCACTCCCCTCCAGGGTCAGCGTGGCAGGTGCAGAGCCCACCCTGGTGCAGGGAGCCCTGGGGCAGCCGGTGCAGCTCTTCTGCCCGAGGGATGCCTCCCTGGGCCCTCAGGCCGGGTGGCAGAAAGATGGCCAGCCCATCTCCTCCAGCAGGTATGTGCAGCGGTGATGGTCCTGCTGCTGGCCTGTGTGGCCCAGGGCTCCCTTGGGTGGGAGAGCAGTTGGGCTCAAGGCCCCCTCTGCCTCTCAGGCACCAGCTGCAGCCTGACCGCTCCCTGGTCATCAGCCCCGTGCGGGCAGAGGACGCTGGTGTCTATAGCTGTGGCGGCCACAGGGCGGGTCGTGACTCTCAGAAGATCCAGCTTCGCATCACAGGTCTTTCCCACGCTGTCCCTGCCAGGCGGCTGGCTGGGCGGGTCTGGGCTGCCTCTGTCTTCCACTGGGGAGGCCACCTGCGGCCCTTACTTCCTCATGGTCAGTCCTGCCTTGCAGCGTCATTCCCTATGCTCAGCTCTGCTTTCCCTGGCCTCATGACAGGGTCGGGCCAGGCGGCACCACCCGACACGGAGCAGAGGCACCTCCCGCGGACCAGGAACCGGGTCCAGGGCTCAGGGCGAGATGCGGGAGGCCCGGGGGCTGTGCCTTCTCCACAGCCACGGCCCACCACCAGGTAGTAGCTCAGCAGTGTCTGGTGCCGGGCTTTCCCCCAGCCAGGGCTCCCGGCTTCCATGGGGTGGTGGAGAAGGGGTCCTTCCAGACCTGGCTTTTCCTGGCCCTGAGCAGGGCTCCTGAGTTGGGCCCCGAAGGGAATGGGGAAGCCCCTCACCCTTGAGCAGTGGGGAAGGGAAGGGCTTCTGAGTTTACAGAGAGGATTGGAGGGCCTTGGGGTCCTCAGTCATGTGAGGGGCGAGGGCGAGACAGCAGGGGCCTCTCGGTGTGGGGTGCTTAGTCAGGGCAAAGCCTGGTGAGATACCTGGGGGCTCTTGCTTTGTGCCCATGGGCTGGGGGCAGAGCCGGGGGGACTGGGGACGCAGCTGTCTGGAGAAGCAGGGGCAGTGAGCCTCAAGGCTGCCCCGGCGTGTCTTGCAGACTGCGTCTGGACAGGACCCAGCCCCACGTGGTGGATGCCAGCCCTGGCCAGCGGGCCCAGCTGAGCTGCCGTGCTGACGGCTTCCCGCCTCCTGTCATCGAGTGGCAGCGCAACGGGCAGCCCCTGTCCTCCCCCAGGTCTCCCCCTCCCACGCAGCCTGAGTGGGGCTCTGGGCTGGGCTGAGCCTCTTCTGAGTGTGGCTGGTGGTGCAACTGAGAGGGGCTGACAGGCAGTGGGCTGCCGCAGTTCTGGCGGGACACCATAGGACACTGGAGTGCAGCTTGTCCTCGGCCATAGACCGTGAAGGAGACACACTGAGGCTGTTGCTCTTTTTAAATTTTACACACAGGATTAGCATCGCAGAGCTTGTAGGTGGTGGGACTAGGATTTAAACCTTTGTGACAACAACTAGAAACAAGCCAGATTTTATTTCCTCAGTATTAGGGATTTAATCCTGATCCTTCACACTGAACTATATTCCCAGACCTTTTTGAGACTGGGTCTCTAAGTTGCTAACTTGTCCAGGCTGAGCTTGACTTTTTTATTTTTTGCGGAGCCGGGCATTGAATTCACAGGCCGTTGTGCTTGCCAGGCAAGCACTTATTCAATTGAGCTATCTCCCCAGCCCCAAATGTCAGAATTCTTTTTTTTTTTTTTTTTTTGGGGGGGTGCCTCTCAGGATGCCTTCAGGGCAGGAAATTTTATTTTATTTTTATTTTTTATTTTTGGCAGAACTGGGGATTGAACTCAGACCCTTGCGCTTGCCAGTGAAGTGTTTATTCCACTGAGTCATCTCCTCGGCCCCTCTGAGCTTGACCTTGAGATCCTCCTGCCTCAGCCTCCCAGAGTGCTGGAATTCCAAGTTTGTACCACAATGCCCAACAGAAACTGGAATTATTACTAATTTTTAAAATGTATTTAGTACAGGGTCTACAGGGTCTCACTATGCAGCTCAGACTCATAGTGATCCTCCAGTTTTCAGCCTCCCAAGCTCTGGGATTATAGATGTGTGTCACCACTCCCAGTTTCAATCACTGTCTCAGTGTACCCCTGGGTCGGGGGCCAGCACAGCATGTTGTGGATGGAACCCCTGTCCCTGTATCTGCCTAAGCAGGCGCTTTAATCCACTGAGCTATCTGGATGGCCCTTGGAATTACTTTGATTTAGAAAATTTGATACACACTTGAGATTCCATCATCCCCAAAAGGAATAGCTGTCATCAAGTACGTAAAATCCAAGCAGTGCTGGCCAGGTCGTTGGGGAAAGGAACCTTCTACGTTGTTGGTGAGCGTGTAAGCTAGTACAGCCGTTATGGATATTTGTCTGGAGATTCCTCAGACTAAAAGTAGACCTTCCCCTTGGCCCAGTGGTGTCCCTTCTAGGTGTCTTCCCCAAAGAGTGCAGACATCACGTGAAGGGACGCATGCAGGCCTGTGTCCACAGCAGTGCAGCCTACGATAGCTAAGCCACGCAAGTGGCCGCATGCCACCCACAGAAGGGCACGTAGGGAAGTGCGTATCACACACGGGAGCACAGCGCAGCCCCAGAGCACTTGACCGACCTGTAGGAAAGTGGGCGCACTTGGGGTCTTAAAAGTAGGTGAGATAAATCTGACACACAAGGTTGGACATGGCAAGGTTTCTCATGAGAAACCTGAAGTAAAAGTAACTTGAAGAACAAATGAAGGTATTAGGAAACGCGTCACAGTTGACAGGTGGCTGGGCCCAACAGCCAAGCGTGTGATGCTTTAGAGAGCGGGGAGCTGGAGGGCCGAGGCCCGAAGGTCTCCTCTGTTCCACCTGCTGCTGCTGGTGGCTGCTCAGCCTCGCCTCTGTCCCCTCTTGCTGCCCCTGGCTGGCCCCCTCAGGCTAAAGCCTGCTATTAACTGTGTCTTGTCCCCAGATTCCAGACACAGCCAGATGGCTCTCTGGCCATCAGCCGAGTGACTGTGGAGGACGGTGGCTTCTATGCTTGTGTGGCTTTCAATGGGCGGGACCGAGACCAGCGCTGGGTGCAGCTCAGAGTTCTGGGTAAGGGGGCGGGGGCCAGCAAGGGCTTCGAGGTTAGGCGGCAAGGTGGGGCCAGATCTGAGTTGTGCTGACTGCGTCCTCCTTATGACCAGGAGAGCTGACAATTACGGGGTTGCCCCCTATGGTGACAGTGCCAGAGGGTGACACGGCCAGGCTGCCTTGTGTGGTGGGAGATGACAGTGTGAACATCAGGTGGTCCAGGTAAAGCTCTTCTCTACCTTGAGAACCAGTGGATTATAGTAGGCTTTGGGGACCTGGTTGGCCTTTAGTCCCAGACTAGTTGGTCTTGCATTGATTGATTGTCTTGTTAAGGCAGGGTCTCCCTGTGCAGCTCAGGCTGGCCTTGAACTCACCGTAGCCCCGGCTAGTCCAGAACTGGCAATGATCCTCCTGCCTCAGCCTCCTGAGCACTGGGATCACTGGTGTGTGCCGCCACACCTGGTTTTATTAATTCCTTCAACATCTTTTGCCCTTCCCTTTCTGGGACTAGGTCAGGTCCAGGGGACTTGGGGGAGATGGGTGTGACCCAGGAGCCCCAAATAAGGTTTGTGCAGGGCAGGAGGCTGAGGCCTGGGAGAGATGGGGAGTGGGGAAGCAGGGATGCAGCTGAGGAGGAAAGTGTGTTGTGAGGGGGAACAGCGAGGCCGCAGCTGTGTTCAGAGATGCTCGGCTGCCTGGAGAGCAGGTCTTGTGTGCGGCTTACGCTGTCCCGCTGCACTGAGCTCAGCATTCACCTGGGTCATCCTGGCTGGTCTGTCTGCTCACACGTGGGCCTGCTTGGCTGCTAGATGGGAGCTTCTCTGTCCTTGCTCCTGCTGGCCACTTGTTCCTTCCTGAAATGTCCCTTTATGCTGGCTCTGGGAAGCCGCTGTCCCTTTAGTACTTGGCGTCACCTGCGCTTACTGATGACCCGGACACATCCTTGTACCTCACGAAAACCCCAATTCCAAATGGGGGGTGAGGGTCCAGCCTCAGCCCAGGGCCAGGGCTCTCGCGGCTAGAGGAAGCAGGCATCCCAGTAACCAGGCCGATTCCCTCCTCCCCTCCCTTTCCCCACCCGACCTTTATCCAAGTCCCACTCTGGCCGCTGTCCCTGTCGCCCCCAGGCGGTCCCTGCTTGGCTCAGAGCTCTGCATCCGCCCACCCGGGGGCCGCAGCCCTTCTCCCTCCTTCCTCCGGCCCCCACAGCACCCTCTCTCTTGGCCACTGCTGGGTCTGGTCGGCCAGGACTCAGCATGGCTTCCTCAGGAAAGGCCACCGAGACCCCTGCACTCCTCCCGGTGCCCAGGCAGCTGCGCTGGATCCCTCGACACGGGACACGGCCGCGCGCGCTCATCCAGCCTCTTCAGTCCCCATTCCCTTGGGTCACCTGTCTGCCCTTGGGAGAGGGAGGCCTTCAAGATCTGCTCCCACATCCCTGAGGTGCTGGTGACGTCCGTGTGTCCCTCAGGAATGGGCTGCCCGTGCAGGCTGATGGCCGCCGCGTGCACCAGGCTCCGGACGGCACGCTGCTGATCCACAACCTGCGCCCCCAAGACCAGGGCGCCTACACGTGTAGCGCCTACCGCGGGGGCCACGCCGTCAGCCGCAGCACCGAGGTGAAGGTGGCTGCGCCAGGTGAGGCCTGCGGGGAGCTGTGGAGGGTGCAGTGGTCTGGGGCCTGGGCAGGGGTGCCCTGTCTAGAGCCCCGCTTTCCCTCTGTGGCTTGAGCCCGTGTGAAAGTGAAGGGAATGGCCCGTTGGCTGGGTCGTGGCTCACAGAGGGTCAGCACTGGCAGTTTTGCTGGTAAACGTGGACTGCTTCGCCAGTTTTCCTGCTTGCCTTGTGTAGGGCCGCGCTAACCTGCGCTGTATTGTTGCTGCCCAGCGAACAGGGCCCTGCTTTAGATTTAGCAATCTATTTCCAGAAAATGTAACTGGCTGGCGTTTCATTATAATTCTTAAGGCAGACAGACCACTAAGATCTGACTGTTCTACTCAGGGTGGCAGAAGTGGTCCTAAGAAGGACTCTGGGACCTTAGGACCCCTGACCCACGAAGGCCAGGGCCAGGGTCATCAAGCCTTCACAGCAGGACCAGAATCCGGGTCTCTGGGCCCCATGGTTTATTTCTGTATTTTCACTGAACTGTCACGCTTGTGAAGAAGTGGAACGCACACGCATTCCTCAGTAGTTTGGTGCTGTAGCCTTACAGTCTGCAGTTGGCAAGCAGGATTTTAAGAAATCAGCACCACACTGCACTGTTAGCGTCATGGGAGAACCGCTGCCGATGAAATGGCGCCTTGCCGAGACCCTGCTAAGAGGCGGACGGACTCGAGCAGTGTGCAGAGGGCCTGGACAGCTGACGACCTGGTGACCGCTGGCCAGAGCTGCTCCTAGAAGCGGCCCTGCGGCCTCCTCTGCCATGGGCCCGGCCCTCGCTCGAGGGTGCAGCGAGCGGTTCTCCCAGGCCTGCTGCAGCTGTGGCCACGGTGCGGGGCCCTTCCTGCCCGGCTTTGTGCCATCAGAGCTGTGGTCCCCTGGAGGCCTCCTGCCCGCCCTGCGGGGAACCGACCGGGCCAGTGCGCTCAGCCGCGCGTCTGTGGCTGACATGTGGCTCTGTGGAGAGCCCTGAGCTCCAGGCAGCGGCCGAGGCCCAGGATAACAAGACAGCATCCTTGGGTGATGGGCGCGTGCGTGAGTGCAGCCTGGGCGAGGTGCCACGCATGAGTGACAGCCCTATCCCGGGGATAACACGTACCTGGCGCAGCTGCGATTGCGTCCAGATAATTTTTTGGGCACATACTCACTACTCTTGGGGACCCAGATAATGAGGTTTGTAATTAGCAGAGGATGTACCTGCATAGAAAACCACTTGCTGGGTGATGGTGCGGCGGGCTCCGGTCCACGCATGCGCCTGGCCTACCAGGCCCGGGGGATTTGGCGGCAGCCATCCCAGGCAGGACCAGGCCTCAGTCCTCACCTGCCCTCTGCTGGTGAGTGGTGCAGTTCTGGGTGGCCTGGGGTACCTTCTTCTCCCTGCATCCACTCTGCTCCTCAGACTGCAGGTGTCTGCGCTCGCCTGGCTGTGGGCCCCTGAATTACGGTGCTGACAGGGTGTGGGCCTGGGCTGGTCCTGCTGTCGGGGAGGGACACGGTTCTATCGCAAGGACTTCTTGGTCCTTTTGCTGAAGAGCGGAGTGAGGAGCTGGGCACGATTACACACCTGTAATCCTCACACTTAGGAGGAGGCCGAGGCGGGAGGATTGCTGTTTGAGGTCAGCCTGGACTACACAGAGTAAAGGGCAGAAAGCACTGCAGGGTGGAGGACAGGCTGTCCCTCACTTTCTACATGAGAAGGCGCCGCTGTGGGCACGAGCACTCTCCTGCCTCACGGAGCAGAAGTGCCGGCACGTTCCGGGCCTTGTACCTGTAGTTTAAGGCTATTTTCCAGCTGGGTCATATTGGGGAAAAAGGATGGCAGGGAGGAGAGACTCATCACGCCGAGGGCCAGGTGCTGCAAGAACCAGGTACAGTTGATACCCGAGTTTCAGGTTTTACTTTTGTATTTTAGGGAAGGGTGGACAGGGTGTTCAGGGTCTGTCTTCCAGGTCGGACTTGTTTACAGCCTGCCGAGAGCCAGCACGCCCAGTCAGGGTTACAGGTTTAGGTGCAGCGGCATCAGTCCTGCCGCTAGCAGCACACCAGGCTGTTCCCCCGCCTAAGTATGTTACCGGATATGAAACAGATTGGTGTAGACTGCATGTGAAGCACACGTTACACACACGCTGGAGGGTGACACAGGCTGCCACCCCTCAGGCTGGACATGGGCTGAGCCACCTGAGCGCTCAGAGGGCAGGCAGGCCTAACCTGAAGGAAGAGGCGTCAGTCGTCCAGTTGGACGGTGCACCAGGCAGCGAGGAGGGCTGCCCGCAGGGACAGCCCTACCCCTCCGCGGGCGTGCACGGCTAGTGGGAGAACCTGTGGCGCGGCCACCTCACCCCTCTTCACTGTTCTGCAGCAGCAGCTGCCCAGCCCAGGGAGCCCAGCGGTGAGTGTGTGGACCAGCCGGAGCTGGCCAACTGCGACCTGATTCTGCAGGCCCAGCTCTGTGGCAACGAGTATTACGCCAGCTTCTGCTGCGCCAGCTGCGCCCGTCTCCAGCCGCACGCTCAGCCCGCGCAGCAGCAGGGATGAGGGGGCTCTGCCCCATTGTGAAGAACCGGGAAGAAAGGCGCAGCCTCCTCGCCCGGCTGGAGAGGGAACCATCCCTGGACTCTGCCCTTGAGAAAGCGCGGGTGCTGCCGCGCAGGAGCAGCCTTCCTCTGTGCCGCCCCTTTACCTTTTTTCGGGTGCAGAATCCCTTATGTGAAGTGTGTGGGTCCAGAAGTGTTTTGGAGTTTGGAATATTTGCAGCCTAGGGCTAAGCGCCTCTAATCCCCCAAATCCTGAAACACTTCTGTGTCGCATGGGTGCACAAAATTCTTGGACTTTGAGTGTTTTGGGTTTCAGGTTGGGGATGCTCACCTTGTGCGAAGGATCAGTTTTTTTTTTTTTTTTTTTTTTTGAGACAGGGTCTCACTACATAGTTCAGGCCGAGCTGGCGCACGCAGCGACAGGTGTGCCACTGCCCCCTTCACTGCATTTTACAGCGCAGTGCTCTACAGATGGGCGGGAGAGGGGGCCCGTGGCCCACCGCGCGGGTCTCTCACCCGCCTAAGCAGAAGCCCCCCGGTGATGGGGAGCACCGAGCCTGGGAAGCTCTGCCCACGGGTATAGGCTCAGGGACACGGAGGCCAAGGAGCCAGTCAGCCCGGTAGGCTTGCGGGGGCGGCTTCCCGCGCTGGGAAGCTGGCGTGGCAGTGGGGCGGGGGCGGCCGGAAGGGCTCGTCCTCGGGGCTTCTGCGCCCTCAGTGCAGACGTCAGAGGCCCGAGTTCAGTGGGCCGCTCGGTCCCTTTCTACTTCGTCCAGCTCTTCCGGAGGCCCACCTCGAGACAAGGGTTATGCTTGCACACAGAAAGACAGGCATTCTACTGACTTTCATTAGTTCCTCACGGGCTGGAATGTCACCGGGAGGGTCCCGCTGCCTGCCTCTCGGCGAGCCCCTCATGCCCCATCGAGGCACCGGGCAGCATCCCTTTCCCTGTGCCGGGCTGGTTCTGGTAGTGGCAACTGGAAAGAGCTGCCTTCCCGGACTTCCCAGCGAGATGACGCTGTTCGCACGCTGCACACAACCCAAGCTCTGCCGCCCCTGCTCTCAGACCTAAGACGTCCGACTGAACTGGTCACACGCACTGGCCACACGCCTGCTCTGCAGGGCTGGGTCTTGGAGTCCAGCACTCCAGCCGCGGGGCGATGAGACGCCACCGCTGCGTCCGGGCCACGCTTGAGCAAACCTCCTCTTCAGCTGAATTTTAGGGACATAACAGTCACAAAGATTTCCTAGCCACTAAACCAGCAGTTCGTGATAGCAGAGGAGACAGAGTGAGACTTTAAACTCAAGAAGAAAGAGCAGCCCTGCGTGGACGAAAGCGTCTAGCATGAACATTTATTTTTGTTAAAGCAGATTATAAATTCTCATCAGTACAAATATATATATATATATATATAACTTACATTTGATTGTAAGGCCAACGTTCAAAAGTAAAAATGAGATGGGATCTCCTGTAACCCGAGGTCAAGTGGCTGCAACTGGCAATGGGACTTCTCACCCAGAGGGTGGCGGGCGCACACACAGCTAGCAAACGGGTCCGCGATCTGCAGACCGTGGGAACGGCACAGAGGACAGGAGCCAACTACAGAGCCACAGGGTAACCTGCGTTCCACCCTGTGGAGATGTCACTGTCACCTTAGTGTTAAAGGATTAAAAGGAGATTCCAATGATATAGAAAAGATAATAGTCTCTATAGAGCATAGATTGATTCCGTTAAAATGACATTAGAATTTCATCAAAGGTTTAAAACCTGGACAATACTGCTTTCATTTTTAAATTTAAAACTACGACCTAGAGACTGTCTGTCATCAGCACGATTGCTGGTGCATGCGCTACCCAGGAGGACAGTGAGCGAGCCAGGGACTGCGCCGCAGCGCCTGCCCCGTTTTACTTCAGTAGGCATCAATGATCAATCTTATTTACAATTTCTTACAAATAACCTTTTTTTTTGGCAAGATTACTTACAACTTTTTAATATTGAGAACTATTTAAAATATTCTAAATGCATAAAAATAAAGATTTTGGCTTTTGATATATATATATGTATATATATATATATATATATATTTATTCTGTTACTCAAAATGGAAGCTCCCCTTTACGCCTGGAAGCAGCCCTGCTGGCTGCGCCCAGCCTGAGCTCTGGCCTCTCCAGTGTGAAGGCCGGTCCTGGAGGAGCCAGTGAATGGCCTCAGGATAAAGGGAGTTCTGCTCCCAGTGCCTTTTATATTCCAGTAAATGTGCTTTGAATAGATTCCTGTTCCGACACTTCTGTCTCTGCTGCCAGACATCTGTCCGAGGGTGAGAGGGGACGGGGCGCGTGGGCAATATTTTCTGACTTCTTGGCGTGGCTGTAAGACAGCATTTGCTAGGAACAGCTTGCCCCCCCTTGTTTCAAAAGTCACCCCATGAAAGCACTCTGCCTGGCCTTGTTCCTTGGGACCTCTGGGACTAGTGGAAAGTGTACTGAGCGGGAAGACAAAGTCACCTTTGACCTCCACCCCCTGCCTTCACCTAAGTACAGACAAGACACATAAGCTAGAGAGATTGCTTAAAGTTCAATTTCAAACGTCTTCTGCAGGTCACTGGAGAAGGGGTTGGTAGGGGAGGGGTTCGCACGCTGCTTGGATTTGCTTTCCAAGGCTGCCCACTGGGCCTCGAAGGCGTCTACCGGGCAGGCACCTGCAGGCAGCTCTGGACGCCGGTCTCCTGAGGCCAGCCTGCGGTCGGCCACACCATTGAAGGCCGCAGACCCGTTGAGGTGTGGGGCTGGAGGCCTCAGGAAGGGCTGGGCAGCAGCACTGACTGTCTCACACTGAGGGGAGGGCTGCTGGTGGACAAGGCTGGGTGATGGGTGGGGGAGAGTGACCTGAGAGTGGCCTGCAGTGCCAAACACATTGGCGACCATCTGCGAGGGGGTGATGCCCACCACAGGCACATTAGGGGCCGGGTAAGGCATCCCATTGGCCACAGGGTAGGACTGGGCAGGGACAAAGGCTGGCTGCAGAGGTGGGACCACGCCCACAGGCACGGGCTGTGAGGCAAGGAACACACTCCCTTGGAAAGGTGGCACCGCCTGGGAGACAGCCGCAGGAGGCGGTGGCTGCAGGACCGGCTGCAGAGGGGCAGCAGAGGCCTGGGGCTGCGGGGCCCGGACGCTCTTGGACACTTCTTCTAGCCAGCGGTCAGCCTCTGAGGGAGTGCGTCTATGGCCAGTCTGGAGGTCTGGAGAGGACAGGCCCCACTCAGTGCCTGGAACCAGCAAGATGGAGAGAAGGCGTTAGGTGGTCTCTTCCTTCCCCTCCCCTCAAAGCCTTAGTTATTTCAATGATCCTAATAAGGATCTTTCCTTGGAACAAGGAACAAGTCCTCCTAAGGGGCTGTTCTGTGGCCTTGATAGGTGAGAAGCAAGTACTGTACTACCAGCTGAGATTTTTCAGGACAACCAGCCCATCAGACCGTGCTGCTCTTGTGGCCAGGTTCAGGAGCTATTTAATGTGCCTCAAATAAATGCACTGAACTAAGGCAGCTGGCTCACATGGGACAGCCCTCCTCGTTCCCGTGGCTCATCCACAGTGTAGGAGCCAGCTCACACATGCTCCACAGCACTCAGGGATTCATCTTCAGTCTAACATGGCACAAACAGCACATGGCCACACGTCTGGGCCCTGTCTGGTTTCTAGTCATACGATACACCTTTCTGGTGAATGATGCTTACTGCTGGACAACATTTTTTCTCTTACAGTTACAGAAGAACTAGTAAATGCAGGGAAGCGCTCAATTTGTTTATTTTTCGGCAGAACCAGGGATTGAACTCAGGCCCTCGTACCAGGCAAGCGCTTATTCTATTGAGCTATCTCCCTGGCCTCAAGAACTAGTAAATACAAAAGTGGGAAGTTTGCCTCTTGCGGGAGGCAAAGTTCCCACTTCCTTCAGGCCTGTTTGTCCACTGCCAAATTCAGGGATGGATTCCCTGGGGGCAGGGCTCAGGAATCTAGTTCATAAAAAGCTGTATGACGGCTCAGGTCCATAGTTTTAAGATCTATCAAGCTAGTATTTTTTTGTTCCCCTCCTTTACCATCCTGTCTAGAAGGGAACGTATGTTTCCTAAAAAGGATTCTTCTCTAGTTCCCACTCCAGTAACTGGCTGTTTTTAGAACCAGGGTCACTCATCTGATCCCAGAATCCTCCACCATCTGCGGCCACCTTACCCGAATGTGTGGCTGCAGCTTTCTTGTTAGCAGCATCAGGGGCCTGGGCCCAAGGGTTGGTCTCACGCACAGGCACTGCTACGGGTGCTAGAGCAGCATGGGCTGGCTTAGCAGCAAGCACGTGGAAGGCTGAGGCAGTGCCATTAGCTACAACGGAGCAGACAACATCAGTGGAGCTAATTCACGCAAGATGCATGAGCGAGCTCAGAGCTGGCTCAGTCAGGCCGATGTGCAGCACAGGGGAGAGAAGAGAGAAGAGTGACGGTGGGGTGACCATGCTGTCTTGCAGTGGGCCCACAGACCTTCTGGCAAAGAAGGGTTCAGAGGCTATAACTGCAATGATTGTAGTGATAAAGCCAAATGACTGTTCTGGAAAAATATGCGCCCAGGAAGAGGGGAAATGAAGCCTACAACAATTTTCAAGTTATGTTGAATAGAACTGCTTTTATAAGCAGAAAAAAAAAAATCTACCTATTCCAGCTACAACTTAGCCTTTGGCTTAATGAAGTAGATGGGGCATTGCTTTCTTCTATACTCTTCCAAAAGGCAAACTATAGCAATAATGATGATGGCTAAATATATTTCCTTATGTGCTGGGCACCATGTGAACAGCATTTTATGGGCATCACCTCATTTAATTCTCCCCAAAGCCCTGTAGGACTCACACAGGAAGAGCACTGGAAGAAGTTCTCAGGCATTCTGCAGATAAGTGAAATCTTACGGAGAACCAAGCCCTATATATACCTACCATAAACTACAATTTATAAATTAGCCCACTGGAATTAATAACGAAAAACCAGAATGACCAAGGCTGGCCAGATAGTAGGATTAAAGTGCCTACTTCGGCAGACACAGGGACTGGGGTTCAATCCCAGGTATGCGGCGCCGCGCTGCCCCCAGGGTACACTGAGTCGGCAACCGAGGCTGGGTGTGGTGGCGCACGCCTATAATCTCAGCTCTTGGGTGGCTGAACACAGGAGGATCACTACAAGTCTGATCTGTGTAGTGAGACCCTGTACTAAATACATAAAAAAAACCCAATGCATTATTCTACAAATTACTTAAATGTATGCATTATTTATTTCTGGAATTTTCTATTTAACATTCTTTTCTCTAACATCTTAAGATGGCAGTGGACTATGAGTAACTGATACCTGGGAAAGTGAAACCATAACTAAGGCAAACTACTATATTGTGTATTTCCATATAAAAGATGAGAAATCAAACTTAATATTTTCATTTGCTTAATTAGCTTATACTTTCATTGCTTTTGAAAAATTTTTCCACTTGCAATGTTCACAATAACACAAAGTGCCTACTATGTTTCCTTATCTCTATTAAAACCTCCTAGCCCTGTTCCCTTTACTCTAATAAACTATAGCAATAACGATGATGGCTAAATATATTTCCTTATGTGCTGGGCACCAGGTGAACAGCAGAATGGAAATCTGTATCGGCTTCCATTCTTCATTCCCCTCCCCTGCTTCATAGGTACAGACTTGTATCTCCTCCTGCTGCGTAACACAAAACTCCCTGCTCAGGAAGGGGTAGCCCTGCTCATGGCGGTGGCAGCACCTTCCCAGGTCCCGTCTAAAGCTGATCTCCCTGCAGACTGGGGCTGCCTGAAGGGCAGCGCAGGCATGATGTGTGACTCCATCTGCTAAGCCCGGGCACTGTTAGGTGCTTAGCTGTGCCCACGCCCATTATCATGAGTATTATAAATATCTGTTACATGAGAGGAAATGGCTACCTGGTGACATGAAAAGCACATAAAGGCTTGGAGGAGGGAGGGGGGAAGGGGAGGACAGGGCAGCAGAGGGGACATGGACTCCCTGGAGGTGAGGCGTGCAGCAGGTCCTCCAAGGGAGTGGGGCACTGTCCAGGGCACAGCTTCCTCTAAGCTTTTTTAAAAAAAATGAAGGGCAAACCTCGGAACTCAGATCAGAAGTCTTCAATTTAAGTTACATTCTTTGTCACCTGAGTCAATGCCAACTATTAATTCAACATCTCTGACAAAATAATTTGTTGTAAGTCTTCAATGGCAAAAGTAAATTTTAGGACATTTGTTACACAAGATGATCCAGAAAGCCAAAAGGAGCCTTTTCTTTACGAACCTGTGATAGGACAGGGACTATGTATGTCCCAGCTTCTCAACCAGGCCCTGTTGATACTCGGGGCCTAATGACTTCACTGGCCCTGAGCCTGGAGGAGGCCTGGCTAGGCCCTCTGGTCTCTACAGAGTGGCCGGCACAACACCCCTCCCCCAGTGTCTCCCTTCGGATGCCACACTTTCCCTGAGGGAGCAAAGCTACCTGGCTGAGCGCCACTGTGCAAGCGAAGCATAATGCCTCAATTAATCGGGATCACTGCTGCTGCTCCAAGACTGGCTTGACACTCTGACCCTTAACTGTCAGGTGCAAATCAGGCAGTGCACTGGGGTTACAGAAGCTCCTACAGAGGGACCACAGACAGGCGCGTGCATGCAAGATGATGGAGCCAACAGCTTAGGAAACGGAGAGAAACGAAGCACAAGGACTCTAAGACATGGGGATGGGTCTGCCCAGCTCTTGGGGAGCTGCGGGTGCCGACTGACACCCAGTGACCAGCGGGACGGGGCACCAACCTTGGAAGGCAGGAGACTGTGGTGGCACCACTGTCACTGGCTTGGTCATCGGGGCGGATGAAAAGGGGTCCTCAGAGGGTGTGCTGAAGGCGCTGGTGATCTGGGAGCACAGCGCACTGATACTCTCTGCTTCTCCTTCCACCTCTGGCACTGTAAGGCAAGCAGAAGACAGTTCCAGCAGAGACGCGGAGCAGTCCCGCGGCAGGCTGCGGCCCGCGGGCGTCTCAGGCTCGCTTTCTGTGGCAGGTAAGACTGCTGGTGCTACAGAAACGGCTTCCACAAATTTACTGACTGCCACTGCACTGGGTTTTCTCACGGAAAAGTATAAAATGTCAAAAATTCATGTTCTAAGATATGTCTTTTCTCCTTACACACCTCCAAATTTCTTTATTTCCTTTTTCTTGTGACAATGTTAGGAACTGGTGTCCTCTCTCTCGTGTCAAGATATTCAACCAGCTAGGTATTTTCGGAAGACCAAATTTGCACTTGTATTTCAACCAGTTGCCATGGCTGAGGTCTGAATTAAATTCCGGAGCCATTAAGTACTTCAGAAAAATGGGGTAAAGTCCAGGCCACCCGTGGACGTGGAGTGCTTAGCTCTGCGATCATGTGTCATCAATCATGTCTCTGTAGTCTCCAGGACCACGTATATCAACAGTGACAGAAAGTGAACCTAAGCGAAGGGCTCTGGAGCCCTCGCTCTTAACACGGAATCAAGGGTGCGTCTGTGACCCCGAGGAGGCTGACGTGCGGAAGCTCCCCGTGAAGAGAACAGTTTGCTTCCCTACCTCTTGCCCCAGAGGGACACGGAGACAGAGTAAGTGCTTGCAATACCTGGTTTCAAATTTCAAAGGTGCCGAAGGCTGGAAGGGGCCTTGGTGACTGACTGGTCCGACTGCTCTCTATGCCTGGCTTCATCTGTCAAAGGAGCTGAACTCTGCCTTGGCACGGTGTCGGGGCTGCCTGCTGAGATGGCACCCTCAGAATCTGTGATGGCAACACTGTGCCACATTTCAGAGGGACTAAGTAGGGCTCAAAAAGTTCGGACCAAATCTGACCCTTCAGCTCCGGGGCACAGGGGCACAGAGGTCCTGGTGCGCTGAGCAGAGCCACCACTGTGTGGCAGTGCCGGAAGGTAGCGAACGGATGTGGACAAGTCGCGGCTTCCAATGAGGATCTCAGGACCGGGGATTCCTGCAGGCGGCCCTTTAGGAGTGTCCTCCCTCCGGAGCCAGCAGCCCCAGGGTCAGTGAACACTCGCCCACTGCCTCGGGTGCACCTGCTGCTGGTGCTATTTGATTGTACGTGTGCCTCGAGCCTTTTAAATTAACTCCTGCTTGGTCCCAAGGGCCTGAGTAAGAACGGAAACTTGGAACAGACCTGCGAGACGTAGTGCATTTCCAGCAGGAAAACCCACAAACCTCGTGGCTGGGGCTAGAGAGTCCCTGTCGAAGGCAAACTGATGATGCACACCCTGCACCTTGGGGGCTCATGTCCCCGCAGGTCTTTGTGTTTTCGCATGAGAAATGACACAAGATGCAGTCACCAGCAAGCCTCAGAAACGCCTGGAGGCAATGATGCTGCTTAGTGTCAGAGCCACATGGCAGCCAGGTACCTGCTGTTACCTGCATTTTTAATGGGGAAGTCGGTCTTCCTCTGCATGGTGGAAGGGAGCTCGTTGATGCGTAGGGACAGTTGGCGCTTAAAGGGTGACATCTTCTGGCTGAGGGCAGGAAATCCTCGGAAAGAGCCCTGGCGGGCGAGCTGTTCAATCGGTGCGTGGCGGCGAGGAATGGCGTGAGGGTTGTTCATCTCCGAGGCGGCAGTGGCGTCCGCAGTGGGAGAAGTGGGGGAGGCGGGGGCCGGGGCAGCACTGCTGGAGGCCTGCGACGCGCCAGCAGCTGGCTTATCTGTTTCAGCTCAAGACAAGAGTGAGGAGACCTTAGCATGACTTCCCGGTGTCTGCATGTACAGAGCTGGGGACCTCAACAGACCTCCTGACCTACTCATCTCCTACCCAAAGTGTCTTCAGATACGCGACAAGCAGAGCGTGGCACCCCCGCTGCTCACACAACTCAAACATTAGATCCTTTATTCTCACACAGTGATTTATAAGTTAAGACTTGCAGCAAGATTCTAAAAACCCAGTTCCCATGAGCTCACGTGAGTCCTTTATAGAATGCTGACTCACTGTTTCCAGTGTTTACATAGAGGTAGCTTTGAGAGTGGCAGTCAGAAAGGGCTGTGTTTTTCATGTGTCAACAATCTTTAAATCACAAACAGATGCACTTGTGGTTCATTTGAATAAAAAGATGCAGAAGGAAAATTGGAACTTGGATTAAACCTAAGTGTATGACTGCTTCCGGGGGTACCAGGTGGGTGCTGTTCTTGCGTGAATTGTGTGTGTGGGTCCTTGCACGGAGCAACAGCCCAGCCCTGCCTGACAGGAGCCTGCTAAGTCACTAAGTTGCCCAGGCTGGGCTTGAGCTTGTGATCCTCCTGCCTCAGCCTGCCAGGGTGCTGGGATCACCGGTGTGTGCCACCAGGCCTGGCTCTGGGTACCAATGCGGTTGTGGCACTTGTGCCTCAGCCTTCGTGATCCTTTGTAGATCTTAGGACTCAACCTTTGTGTCAGATGCTGCCGACAGCAGTATTACTTGGTGGTATCAAATACCCTTGCAGAGGTGGGCATGTGGCTCAGTGGGACAATAATGCCTAGCATGTTTGAGGTCCTCGATGCCTAGCACCACACACATGCAGCCTTCAGTCTAAAAATATTACAGTACACTAAAAAGCTATTCAGGGAGTTTTCTAGTGAAGCCGCACGCCTTGCTGTGGACAGGGGATCTTGCGAGGTCGTCGGTTTCCAGCTCCCGCCTCCCACGAGCCTCCCGTCTTGTGCTGCCGCGCCCAGCCAGCAGGCGTTTTATTACTTGCTATGCCGGCACAAATGCTTCTAAGAAATGAGAAGCAAATAGATCCCACTCAGCTCGGTGCAGTGCAGTGAACGTGCAAGAGGCCGAGGCGGGCGCCACCTATGCCCGGAGGGCAAGTGCAGCCAGAGCAGTTCGGGGTCCCGCGCCTGTCATACCTCTGACACCGCCAATCATTTCAAAAAATACTGTATTTTTTGGGAGGTCTTAAGAATTATACTGGATCAGTATTAACAATAAGGTACACAAATAGGTCAGTACAACTAACAGCTATTAAGGACAAAATAAAAAAAAATTAACAAAATTATGTTAATATCTATTAGTTTTGGCTTCAACCTAGTTACATACAAGATGATTATTTATTTATTTTTTGCAAAATTCAACAATCTGTTTATTCTTTCTTTCTTTTTTTTTTTTGGCGGAACCGGGGATTGAACTCAGGTCCATGCGCTTGCCAGGGAAGTGCTTATTCCACTGAGCCATCTCCGCGGCCCCAAGATGGTTATTTATTTATTTATTGCTTTCCTGGCACTGGGACTTGAGCTCATGACCTCACACCTGCCAGGCAGGCGCTGTGCCACTGATGTTGCCACATCCCCAACTCTCGTTATATACAAGAATACAAGCACATTCCCTAAGTCCTATTAGTTTTATTTTATTTTTTTAACGGATTTAGTACAGGGTCCACAGGGTCTCACTACACAGACTGGACTAGTACTGATCCTCCTGTTTTCACCTCCCAAGAACTGGGATTACAGGCACGCACTACCATGCCCTGTCTTATCCACCACCTCAGCATGCCCCAGGGGAGGGGCCAGCGCGGCACGCTGGGGATGGAACCCCAGTCCATGAGTCTGCCCAAGCAGGTGCGTTAGTCTGCTGAGCTGTCTGAATGGCCCCCTATTAGGTTAAAATGTACCTCATCAGCTGGGTGTAGTGGCAGATGCCGGTAAGTCCAGTACTTGGGAAGCGGAGGCATGAAGACTGCCGTGAGTTTCAAGCCAGCCTGGACTACGTGGCAAGACTGTGTCTCAATAAACTAAAGGGAAAAAAAAGGGCGCCCAGCCCAGCTTTACAAACTCTGATGTTTGTACAGGCATTTCTGCTCTCATGCCCCTAAGCCAGTCATTCTAAAGGAAAGCACTCTTGTAAGAGTTTCAGCTTTGTTACTAAGATTTTACCTACTCTAAGGGATCTTTCCTGTTCCGGGGAGAAGGGAAGATGCTGGAGCTAGAACGCAGGGCCTCACCTGTGCTAAGCAGGCGCCCAGGCCGAGCTGCACTCGCAGGCCCAGGGGCCTCTTTGATCATGAGCAAATGTCCCTGACAGCTCTAAAATGTTAATGTGCTGGGGAAACTGCGCGCAGCAGGCACACAGCGCAGAGGGCGGTTGTACCTTTCTTGGCTTCCTGCATCTGTTTCATGATCTCCTCTCTTTCTGCTTGCTCGGTGGCAGTCGTGACACGGAATGACCCTTCTCTTGTGAAAGTCGTCCGACTGGCATCAAAAGTAGCAGTCACCCCGCACTCTTTCTCCCGCTTCTGCTTACGCTCTAGGCAGGCTGCAAAAGCACAGCCTACTGCATGGCTCAGTCTCTCACCCTGTAGGAAGCAAAGGTTTATAAAGCTTTTTAAGAGACACAATACCAACAATGACACACACTCTTACGCCTATGTTTACGTAAGACCAAATGTTGCAAACTCCAGCTTAACACTAAGTTTTAGCATGTTACCACCCTCCATTTAGATAAGTAACAGTGCCGAGCACTTAGGAGACTTCCCTCACACTGACCGCTCCAGCCCTGGGAGCGGGTGCAGGCCCCAGCGTCTGCTTTTGGCATGGGAGGTCCTTCTCAGGACGGCCCCATCGTCTCGTCAGCTTCAGCCAACGTTTAGGGCACACTGTGCAAGGTTCTAAGCCTTCATGCATAAAACTTTAGTTACTTCAGACAAAGAGATTTACCAGGGGCTGGAGAGATGGCTCAGTGGTCTAAAGCACCTACTTAGAACAAGCTTGGCAAAGCATCGGGGACCGCGGTTCAATCCCCCAGCACCACATGCCAGCCAGCC